TTCGATCGCTGCTTGAAATAATAGGTCCGCTCAGTTGTCGATGTTGCAGTGGTTGTTTTTTTTTGCTTAACAAGACACGTGCATTACTTTATTTCTTCAATATAATTCTTTTATATTTTTTTTGTTATTTCTTTTTTTTATTGTTGCGATAAAGTTCTAACAATATAATTACTTGTCTTTGGATTCCAGGAATACACCGACCCAAAAATGTGTCCCTATCCAGTGCCCAGTTTGGCCTCGTAATGTCAACCACGTTCAAAATTAGCGTCTGACAGAGATAGTTTCTGAGTTGACCCAAGTTTTGCTGCTGAGTTATATAGCCATTTTAACCATTGGATTATAACTAAATATAATTATTTAAGATAGATTTTGCTGATATAAAAAATACTAGGAAAATAGTCCATTTTTATTGGGCTTAAATCGATTAATTTGTAACTTTTTGGGTAATGACTATGAAATGACAACCTAATCGAATATTATCCATGAAAAAAAAAACTAAAATTCCGCTCGTTCCTTTTATATCTTTGAGAAATTGAAAAAAAAATAGCAGTCCTCCTGTACACAATGAATGGCGGGCATTGTCTTAATAGGTTTTTTATATAATTATTGTTCGAACGAGTAGTTAGAACCATAGTTTAATAGATAGTTTAATAGATGGAGTAGTTTAATAGATCCATATTGAAGTAGCTGGGAGGATAGAATTTTTTTTCGCAAATCGGTTTGCAACTTTTTGTGAGTTCATTTTCACCCCGAAATCTTCTCACAGCTCTCGTGTCCAATCAGTTACAAAAAAAATTATTTTTTTGCAAGTAGTTTTTGTATGGTTCAAACAAATTTACTTCCTGCTGTTTTCGCTCCCAAAAATCTACGGCCGATTTTCTCGAAAAGTTAAGTTTTTGCAACTAATTTTCAAATGTTTAATTGAAAAAAAAGAAAAGGTAAAAACCACAATTATCCGATAACACAGTTGCCTCAAACTTAGGAACATTCTTCTGATTTTGATTCAAGCTTCTCAGAAAACAAGTATGATACAATTGAATCTAGTCCAACAACCAAATCCCCGAACACTTTCTACAACAACTAGATTGAAAAAAATTGCTTAAAAAAAGCTTAGCTTTCCAGATATTCCGTAGTTATCTGTTTGCTCTGTGAAATTATAAACATCATAGGGTTAAAACGGTTGCCTCTAATTTTTGATCATTTTTCCATTTCGAGTTTAAAATGTGCTGTGTATTTTGTGAAATGTAAGCGGAATCCGCAACAAGGACGTTCTTCTTTGTTCTTCTGTTGTTATTTCTTTTTTATTATTGCAATAAAATTTTAGCAGGTTTAAATACATGTCTTTGGAATCCAGAAATACACAGACACAAAACTGTGTCCCTATCCAGTGCCCAGTTTGGCCTCGTAAGGTCAACCACGTTCAAAATTATAGTCTGACAGAGATAGTTTCAGAGCTAACCCAAATTTTGCTGGTGAGTTATATAGCCATTTTTATTGGGTTATAATCGAATATAATTATTTAGGATGGATTTTGTTGATATAAAAATTACTAGGAATATAGTCCACTTTTATTGGACTTGAACCCAATAATTTGTACTTTTTTTGGGTATTGACAATGAAATGACCACATAATCAAATATTATCCATGGAATAAAACCTAAAATTCCGCTCGTTCCTTTTATATCTTTGAAAAATTGAAAAAAAAGCAGTCCTCCTGTACACAATTAATGGCTGGCATTGTCTCAATAGGTTTTTTATTTATTATGGTTCGAACGAGTAGTTAGGCGCACGATTTCACAAATACGCACACACAGGCACACAAGCAAGCAAAAGCAAACTGGCACACCTTTAATTGATCCATAATGAAGTAGCTGGCAGGATAGAATTTTTTTTTCATAAATCGGTTTGCAACTTTTTGTGAGTTCATTTTCACCGGAAGTCTTCTCATAGCTCTCGTGTCCAATCAGAAACAAAAATAATAAAATTAAAGCTATTAGTTTTCGTATGGCTCGAACAAAATTTCTTCCTGCTGGTTTCGCTTCCAAAAATCTACGGCCGGTTTTCTCGACAATTTACGTTTTTGCAATTAATTTTCAATTTTTTAATTGAAAAAAAAACAAAGAAAGTAAATACCACAATCACCCGATTACACAGTTGCCTCAAATTTGGGGACATTCTTCTGATTTTGATTCAAGCTTCAGAGAACACAAGTATGATACAATTGAATTAAGTCCAACAACCAAATCCCCGAACACTTTCTACAACACCTAGATTGAAAAAAATTGCTTAATAAAAAAGGCTTAGCTTTCCAGATATTCCGTAGTTATCTGTTTGCTCTGTGAAATTATAAAGCATCATAGGGTTAAAACGGTTTGAATTCTCAGTTGCCTTTAATTTTTGATCATTTTTCCATTTCGAGTTCCAAATGTGCTGTGTATTCTGTGAATTGTAAGCGGAATCCGCAACAAGGACGTTCGTCTTTGTTCTTCTTTTGTTAATTCTTTTTTTACAGGTTTAAATACTTGTCTTTGGAATCCAGGAATACACCGACACAAAATTGTGTCCCTATCCAGTGCCCAGTTTGGCCTCGTAATGTCAACCACGTTCAGAAATAGCTTCTGACAGAGATAGTTTCTGATTTAACCCAATTTTTGCTGGTGAGTTATATTTAGGCTACCCGCACTGAAGTTTCCTGAATAGCAAACGGTTATATTGGTTTTTCATTGTCAGTTTCTATAAAATAACAAAAATAATCGATTATATTCGATTAAAAATAGAATACACGAATACTAATTTTTAAGCAATACATGTCCAATATAATCGATTGTTTTCAACTTATTTTTGAAAAAATTGTCGAAAGGTAAACAAACAATTTTAATAGTTTATAGTGGGTTATTATCAAGTTTTAAAATTTTTCGGTGCGCTGTTTTCATTTTTTTCTCAATAATCCCGTGTCAAGATTCAAGCGTTATTAGTCAATTACACATCGATTTTTGTACCAGCCTTTCTAAAATTGAGAAAAAAAATTGTTTTAGTTAATTAACAACTTAAAAATATTTATGATACAATTATAATCAACTATTTATCGATCAACTTTTCGATACAATTATAATCGGTCATAATCGATTATAATACATTATTATAATCCCAATTTGTAATTTATTTGTTTTGTTCAAAAACCCAATATATACGTTTGCAATCGATTAAAATTCTCTGTATTTGCCCGTTGAGTCTTCAAACTAATCTTCGGGATGATTAGTGTTTAGTGGGGGTGTAGTAAACGCATGAAGATGGAGTAGTTTGGGTTTAAACGAGTGATTGAGCATACGAATAAAACTCAGTTAAATAAATAACAAAAAATGTGACATTTTGTAAATTTTCGTAAACCCTATTGAAAATAGGTTTCAATCGGATTTACAAAAATATATAAAAAGTCACATTTTTGTTATTATTTTAACTGAGTTTCATTCGCGCGCTCACTCACTCGTTTAAACCGAAACCATTCCCTCCTCAAGCGTTTACTACACCCCTACTAAACACCAAACATCCCTACCTGTAGAATGGTAAACGAAACATGTGGGGGGATAGTTACCTGACTTGGTGGGGTGTTTTGTTTTTAGTAGGGGTGCAGTAAACGTGTGGGAATGAGGTAGTTTGAGTTTAAATGCATGGAAGGAAGGGGAAATGGGGGAACGATTGGGACGTGTGGGTGGACGTGTGCGGAATTTTCAAAAAAAATATCAAAAAGTTAGTCGATTTTTTTCAGGTAGGCCAAGTTGATTTTACGGGCACTCGCACAGCCTTGAAAGGAATGTATTTCCACCAAATTGTAAAATCTGCAGGTTAGTTTTCTGAAAAAACTGGTCAAAAACGCCGTTTCTGCCGACCTCTTCAAAACTACAACATTTTTGCCGCCCCCGTATGAACGTGTTCGTTCGAGTTTTGCAGAAAGTTGCAAAAAATAGAGTCCTTACTTACAAAGTTCAATCATCCTTCTTGAATTTGAAGAACAAAAATTATTCCATTATATTGAAAACGAAAATAAATTTCAATCGATTACAATAGATTCTAATGGACTTTTTTTCAAAAATAATCGATTAAAATGGACTTAATAATCCATTAAGTTGTCTACAATTCCCATAATAATTGACTACATACACAACATTTTAGTCAACAAAAATTCATTATAATCGATTTTTATGCATGAAACTTGTTGCGGGTATAACATGACCAAAATACTGATTCACGTAGCTGGTTAAAAATTGAACGCCGTCTTTACAGTTTCCCCACTACTCGGTAAAAAAAACAGTTAATTTCAAAGAAGAAAGACAACCAGTAAACTGTTAGTGAAAATCAATTACTCCAAATTTTAATAACCATTTAATTTAAAAATCCATACAAATCTTCAAGGCAGAGTAAATTTGTTTGACATCTACATTTTCAATCTTTAAAAACATTTGTTGAACAATTCCATGATTCTTTGGGTCTTTCCCATTGTAGCCACTCAAAAGAATTGTAAAAATTATATAACTCTCCTCCCCTAGTTTGTCAAATTTTAAATGGAATTTGAAACAATCATTGTGCTTTCACTGATAAAGACATTCAGGGGCGGATCTAGGGTTTTCTCGAGGGGGGTGCGGTTTTGAAAAAAAATTATCGAAGTTTTGTCGAGCTATTTTTAGGGAAAAAAAAATGATTTTTTAGCTCTCCCAAAGCACTAAAACTCCATGTTTTGGCCAAATTGTCTGCGCCACAGGCAAAATTTTATTTTGAAAACACAGGCCAAAACAGGCGTTTTTAGTCACTTTTTAGAAAATTTTGACCAAAAATTGCGTTTTTTCGGCGCCAAAAATTAACTTATTTTGGCGCTGAAGATACAAAGATTCATCTCCTATTCTGTTAATAATGACCTGCGCGCTGCCTATTTTTAATTCACAGCTCACATTTTTCTTCTATCTGTTTATTTACTGTCGTCTGCAATTTAATGACTTAATATTTGACTGTTATGGGAAAAACGCAACTGTGTCTATACAATTTTTATCAGAAACAAAATATCAAGTGAATCAACGAGATAGTGGGTAACGTTTCATTTTTAAACACAAGCCGTAGGGTCGAATAAACTCGGGGTCATTTACGATTCTGAAACTTTTCCTTCCAGATGGAATCCTCACTTTGTCAGGTTTGATTCTCACCTACAGAAACAATTAGTTTTAGCGCCATATAATCACTGTACTTTAGTTAAAACCTGAAAGAACGATCAAAACTAGTTTGTCATTGAAACGGTTCATGTTTAATATCGGATCTAAGAAGGTTCTAACTTTTCATGCTTACCATTTTTGGGCTAATTTTGTCCTAATCATTTTTTCAGACGGTCGACACAAATTTTCTAATGCTTCTCTATTCAAATTGTTAAACCATTCCAGTTTTTGGGATTAAATATCTCAGCAGCTGATTGATTGATTAATGTTCCTAAGAATAATGTCATAATCAGGAAACGTTCAACTCTAAGGAACACTTTTTCTATTAGATTTTGAAGTGAAAATTTCCAGATCTGTGTTTAGGGTAAAGAATTAAAGTGAGTCCCAAACTGGGTCTTTTTATCGTTGGAAAACTTCTGAATTCATCCTCAATATGATATATTTTTTTCTTATACAAGTTGAAATTTTAAAAAAGTTTTTGCTAGCATTCGTGTGAAACTATCATTACCTTATCGTCCTAAAAAGAAAATAATGGAAATTTAATTGACCAGGTTTTTTTGGCGTTCAATGGTGAATATCAGTTGGAGGAAAACTGTTAAAAGTATTTATGTTGGGCTGAAGATAAGGTTTAATTAGATGTGTAACCAACCATAAAAAACGCAATAACGAACACGAATAATAGAAAACGAAAAACGTACCTGAATAACAACTTTGTGACCTCTGGCTTTGTATTTTGAGTATTCTTCGGCTTTTTCTACTTTTGCTCCGAAGTAAGCACCTTTACCACATGGTTGACCTTTTCTATCGCTTAGCTCATTCGCATCTATGTCAAATCGATATCGTTGACCGTTCCCGTCGACTTTGAAATTTCTTGTCTGGGAGATAGCGCGGGTCCCAGCTTCATCACTTCCATGAAAACCAACAGCCCATTCATTTTTGTTTCCGGACTTCAGCCAATCGTCATTTCCGCCGTCGTACCTCGTCGCAACTCGAAGACCTACTCGTATCCAGTTTGAGTTCGGCTGATGGTAGTCCAGTCCACCTCTTGTTAGAAGTAAGCCAGCTGGACTTGGGAACTCAAAATCTCCCTGGGGATCGAAGTCTGACTTTTTAAGAGATAACACGTGAAGTAGTCCTTTCTCTCGCTGAAAATCCGAATCTACAGAAAAAAATGTTTTCTCAGTTTGTAATTCAAACGACTGAATTAAGATTTTTAAGAAAATTTCACACCAAAGTTTAAAATTAGAAATGCCACTAGAAGATCTTACCATCCCAATCTTGAACTAAGCCAGCAACAAAGTCATCAATAGATGTTTCAGATGAGATCTCGTCAACCAAAAGAAAAGCTCCACCTACAAAATGAAAAGATACTTTAAATTTTCTCAATTAGAAAACCTTGAAAACCTTGAAAAAGTCTTTCAAAAAATCGTTATTCATCAAACTTTCAAAAAAAGATTGAAGCGATGCAGAAACGATTGTTTAAAATTAAAACAATTGAACAAAATTACATGACTTTTTAAACAACACAATACGATGAATCCTGTTTTTTCATGAATAGTTTTTTATCTGGGTTACTAAATTTTCCTTATACACGAGCTTTTAATCAATCGGGTAATTATATATTTGTTGACTGCATAATTCACAAGTGCCTTAATTCGCAATGAGATTTCACAATGTTAAAAAACAGTAAAAAGGCGTTTTTCAGCGAATAATTTTTTACCGATTCGATTAATCTTCAACTAATCATTACTAGTTATATCCAATAAATTCGCGCTGACAAAGCTAAAACTTGATAGGTAAGCCATTGATAAACGCAAGTGCATACAGCTATGCAGATGATGACTTTTTCAAACAGCAAAAAAAAACTTAATTTTTACAAATTATCGAACCGATTTAAATTGATTGCAATATATATTTCGGTACAAAAACTTTGAAAACTTACTTTTTGGTGCATGTTTTGGCCAATACTATGAAATAAATTGTCTACACGGTTGATAAAAAAAGTACCAAAAGATATTACACTTTTTTAAATAGTTTTCTACCCAAAATTAAAAACAGAGTACCCGGGTTGACCTTCACACACCGAAAAAGCTTATCATACAATTCCATACAACAAAAAACATAACATACAATTCCATACATTAAAAGTATGGAGAAAATGTTTGTCATACAGTTTTCATACTTTTTCGAAAAACAATAGGAAAAAAATATAAACCATTTCTTCGGCTTCTTGAGATTAGTTGAACAGACTGGTGACAAGAAAATTTGATTAAAATTTTTTTTTGAAAAAACTGCTTACCATACAATTTCCATGTAATGAAAATTGAATGACAAGCGTTTTCGCCGTAAGGGATCATTTTAAAAAAAAATTTTTTTGCAAACCAATTATTGGAATACTTCAAATGAGTTGATTGCATGTTTTTCCACAACATGAGATCAAATCTCGAAAACAAAATAAACATTTAATGTGGAAAAAAGTATATTTTTATATTTTTATGCCCCTGTATAAGTTAACAATCTGGACTTCTTCAAATTGTAAAGTAAATGAATCTATTGAAATTTTGAGTTGAAAAAAACTAACTCTTTGTTCTTTCTGGCTTTAATGTGATTGACAATTAGGTCAAGTATCAGAAAAGAGCCTTATAACGCACAAAAGTATGGGTTATTAAAGCACATTGGGTAAAAAAAAACTTCTAGTTTATCTCTGAGTTAGTCCTGATTTTCGTTTTTGGGTGTTTTTTTTCTTGTGCGATAACCTCCGATTAGGCTAAAATAACAATGTTTTTTGGTCTCTTTTATATCATCTATGTATCATCTATATATCATATATGTGTCATATATGTATCATCTATGTATCGTCTATATATCATCTATGTGTCATCTATGTATCATCTATGTATCATCCATATATCACCTATGTATCATTTTAAAATATTTAAAAAGTTTCATAACTACTAAATACAGGTTATACATAGTTGTAAAAAAGATTAGAAACAGATTTTTTATTTATATGCACACCTTTCTCAATATTAAAAAAACTATATATATTTGGTTAATTCTTTTTTTCAATTTTAGTCAAATTCATTACTTTGAATTGATCGTTCATATATTTCATGAGTTTCGAACGTATATTCATATACATTTTTATGTCAGATTTTGTTCATTGACTAATTAACAATTTGATGAAAATAGTTCGGACAAGAGTCATGTTGATCTTTTTTTAATGTTTTTGGAGCACCAAATTTTTTGATTAGACGTTTTTTATAAGACTGGTTTCTGCCGATAGTTTTATTGAAGTTATAAATCAATTTTTCCAGTTATATATAGACAAAAAAAACTCAAAACTTTTTCAGAAACGTTTTCTTTTTTCGAAAAACAATTGTGTAAAAAAGACTCCGTGACCAAAATTTTTTTTGTAGCAATGTCAAATAATCAGCATTTTCACTCAACATCATTTGATAAAACTTTTGAGCTCCCATTGGTTTTTACATCAAATGCACTAGAGTTCTGCACTGAAAAGAACGTTTCCAACGTAACAATCAAATAAATCAATTAAAACGTTATAGACAAAAACAAGGATACCGAATACGATTTTTATATATGTTTAATCCTTATAATCAATTGTTCCTATCAATCAATAAGTTTTTCTTTTTTGAAACCATTCCAGCTAACATATACTTTGGTGAAATTAGAAGATCATTCGATGTAAGATAATAAGCAGAGATGTCAATTTGAAAAGAGATGATTTTCTGACTTCTGTTCTTTTTTTGCTACTTCAAGCAAATAGAAAAAAAAACAATTGGGGAAAAACATAGAAATTCTTTAAATGAATTTGTAACTGCATAACAGTCAATTTGTATGTTGATCAAGTTGAAATCAGGTGTTTTGTTCTTGGAACCGTTAAATCAAAAATTAAATGATAATAAATGCAAAAAAAATTCACCCAAGAGCTATTTTCGTTACCCCTCAATTTGTTTTCACTTTTAATTTTTCAAAAGATGTCAATCTTTAATCTAGTTTAAATACTTGAGCGTTGATAAAGTTAAGAGTTATATGTCGAAATTTGGAAATAAAGTACATACCTTTTGCCGCCGCAACCTGCTGCAATGCATCTATGGCTTTTTGTTGAATTGGTTGTAAAGTGGATTGTATTTGCGAGCTCACTTCTTTTTCTTCTTCGGTAGGATCTGTTCGAAGTATTTTTTCCTTTATTTCCAAAAATGTATCGTATGGATCTCCCGTTGAATATTCTGGAATATTTTTTGATAATTTCTGATTAGTACTCTTCACTGTATATCAAATAAAAAACACTAGTCAACAATACCATATCGATCAATTCATACCAATTATTTCATTTGACTTTTTCAAATCCTCAATACTGAGAAATTACTGAACAGTACTTTTTTTCTTCAATTCAAAGATTAAAATCAACTGTGTCTGAATTCTCTTTTAAAAAAATGAAATAAAACCACTGAATGGAGACCAAAATTTGATGAACAGAATAAGGTTTAATTTCGTGTTTCGTCCGGAAACACAAATCAATTTCCCAGATTTCTCTAGAAAAGTTTGTGGTTAAGTCGAAGTAATCTCACAAAAAAATGCTTTATAACTTTTAAGCTGCCATCTTTAGTTTTTGTGTTTCTATCGGATGAAAAAACACAACCCAATGATTTGCAAATAAGAATGCGGAGCACGGAGAGCTTTGGGTGACAAAAATCTCACAGAAAAACAGCATTTGGTGATTCATCCCCTACGTTTAATATTGGATGGACTTTCTTCAGAAGCCGGAGCGATTTTCAATAAAAACTGATTATCATACATTTTTAATTAGTGATAAAGGTAAAACGACTAATTTTTTGAAAACATTTGAGAATCAGGTTTTGACAGATGCCGCCAAAATCGATGTTAATCGGATTCAAAATTACCCACAAAATGAGTTTAAAAAATGGTTTCTTGTTTATTTTAAACAAGCAATCCAGAAAATGCAGAACCAAGTTATGTGTCTGGAAACGGAAGAATAAATGAAAGCAAAGTTCTTACCCTGTGAGTTAGAACCGAGGTGGTTAACTCATAGAGTAATTTCGGATAGGGTACACCGTCTGCTCGTCACGCTATCTTATTTTCGGCCGGATAGATTCGTGCAACTTCTTAGTCTAATACCGATCCTAATCTTACTCTTATACTATCTAGTCTCAGGTTGTTTAACTAGTCTCTGCTAGGCTCAATAGATCTAGGGTATACTGGTTTATTGCGGCTGCTGAAGTCTTCTTGGAGAGTCAACTAATTTCTAAGTTAAATTCAAATCTCTCTGGTGCTGAAATTACAAGTAATTCCAGCACTTACAAATAAGTGGATTGTTAGTTAGATGGATCATGATTGGTTAATATTAAATACTTTACAGTGGTAAAATATCTAATTTATCCAATCATAAAATGTAGTTTAGATCAGGTTCCACCCATCCGGGTTTTACAGAGTTTTTTAGAATAGTCTTTCTGCAATTCAAAGGATGGATGATGAACGTTGGTTTTTGGCGAACATCATATTTCGTCTGGGTTCTCTTGTTAGAGAAGTTCCAGGTTCAATCGTTGTGTCTTCTCATGACAACGACTGGGTTTTCGCAACAAACTCAAATCTGATTTCAGAATGGTTGGCTATGACAGGTTTTTTCGTTTCTTGTAGAGAACTTCTTTTGGGTTGACCTTGTCTGGTAATGGCGTGGAGATTGTGCGTGGAGGGGATGCCTGGTTACTCGGATCTGTACGTATACTTGAACATCGAGGTGGTCATTGTTCTAGTTCAATGAAGTCCTTTTCTGCGAAGTCAAGTCGTACTCTAAATCCTTTGAGTTGTGATTGTGGGCGGCATATTGATTGTGGTTGGCCATTCTTTTTCGAGTGTAGTGGGTTCATTTTGTCTTTGGATGTTCGTCTTTGGTGTTGTATGCTGATCTATATACTGCAAGATATAATTTACATTTTATAAAATTTTTATTAGTTTGGTGTTTTAATTATGATTTTGGTTAGTTGTTTTCACAAAAGCTTTTTGTTTTAATTCAGTTATTTTGAAGAGTTACTCACCCTTGAGTACCTCTTATTAAAAATAGAAGTGTGTTCACAAAGCGTGGATGTAGCGCGGTGGGTTAGGCCGGCTATAGAGCATGCTCAGGACGTCCTCTCTGGTGGGTTAGGCCAGGAGTGGGAGTATGATTTTGTGCGGTTTCTGTGAGAGGTCCTGTTATGTGATAACGTTTTATGTTGAGTTTATTGTGGTTTTTCTTATGTTTCGTTGGTTGTGTCCTTTTTTCAAAAATCAAATTGTTTTTGGTATGGGTTTGTCTTTCGACCTTTTTGTGTTTTATCATTTCTTTCTTAGACTTTATAATAGTCTTCAAAAGAATAAATTATCCAGTCTTAAACTGGGTTAATCCGGTTTGGGTACCGTTGATTTCCTTTTCTTAGTCATGCTGTTATTCTATGTGTTGTGGTGTTTAGTAAGCTGCATTGGTTAGTTTTGTTTAGTATATAATTCCTTTCCAACCGGGTTAAAGGAAAGTTTGAAACTTGTTATCGTGTGTTAGAGTTGTTGAGTGTGAAAACTTAAAACTGAAATTCATTATTTAAACAATTCTTCGTGGGCGAGCTGTGCGAGTTTGGATAGATTTCTTTGTGCGAGTGAATGAAAATATCAAAAGGTTAGTACTGCATTTGCGTTTTATCAATTTACTACATAGAATTTCAATTTTACTGCTAGTTTTGGGAAAAATTAAGTTACAAATTTTCATCATTATTAGAATTACTGCTTTTTAGGGAAATAATTTATAAATTAATTAACTACATTTGTATGAACTTTATTTAATTTAGCTGGTGCAAAAGATTATTAGAGTTTTGAACAATTTGAAGAAGTTTTCTATTTTTTATTTTTCTTTTGTGTATTTTGCAGATAATCGTGAGATGAAGACTAAAAATCAAAATGAGACATGGATAAAGAATGGTTAGTTTTTTATTTTAAATTTATTAGTTTAGAATATATATAAATTATACTTACCTGTTAGTCGTCGGGGGAAAAACCGTGGGGGAAGATGTCGTGGATTATGTCGGAATTTGTTAGTAACTTTGCTAGTATGCGAATGATGTTTTTAGTTTGAAGCAGTGGCCAAAGCAATTGAAGTGCTTTAATGGTTTTTAGTTCTTCAGTGCCAACTGCAAACTCATAAGGTGTGTTTATGATGAGATTATATAATTTGTGGTTATATTTAGTGTTGTGGATGAATTCTAATATGGGGATTTCTATAGGTTGAACAAATTCATGTGGGATAAGGAAGGGTATGGATTCTTCTGCGTTGAAGGTCTTTGTGATGGGACAAAAAATATACATTTGGGTTATGGGATCATAATTGCGAAGAATACCGTGAAGGTTAGTATCTTTGATGCAATATGTGAAGTTAAGAAAAAATGGTGATGTGTATTTAGAGTTAATAAATTGAAAACGATGGTGTGGTTGTCTTGATGGAGTGTGTAGGTTAAAGTGATTTTGTATAAAGCGATAATATGTATATGTGTGGGTTTGTTTAGTGCGTAACATAATATCGTGTGAGCAGTGCAAATCTCTTTCATGTGGTGCAATGAAATGAAAGGTTATTGAAAATAATTGAAATTTTTCTTTAAAACTTTCGTAAGATTGTGTGTCGGTTAGTGCTTCAGAAATGATGTGATCGAATTTGCGATCAAATATATTGAGTGTAAAAACATATGGTGTTTTGATGAAAAACTTTTCTGTGATTTGTGGGTTAGCGAAGCGATCATCATCTAAAAATTGATCTTGGTTAGTTCGGATGATGTTATGATCGTAATATTCTAGCGTATATTCGTTAGCTCGGGGTGCAGTGTATGTTTTAGTGATTTTTTATATCCGATGTAAGTAAATTGTCTATGTGTTAGTGGTGTGGTGAGTCGATATAGCATATCTTTATTTCTTTCTATATCGATGTGAGTATTAGATAAAGGTAGGCAAAGGGGGTTAGTAAAATGATAATATGATGTCCAATGAAGTGTAGGCATTAAAACATGTTCATCTACAAAACTACGTGTGTCGTTAGTGTCGTTAGGGGTGTTCAAGGTATACTGTGGAAATGAGGGTAGGGTGATGGCTAAGAAATCTTTCGTGTTAGTGTGATTTGGATGATTAATATATTCACGGGCTGTTCCTGGTTTTGTCGGAAATGGATGGTTCGGGAATTTTCTTTTGAAAGTGCGATAAGCTCTGTTAGTGCTATTTGATGATTCGGTGGATGTGGAGGATGGTGCTAATGATGCGGTATAAGCTGAAGAGGGTGTAGGGGTAGGTTTAATGATTCTATTGTGGATGAAATCTGGTTTATAGTGGAATTTTCGAGGTGGAAGGGTTGTTGTTGTAGGGTGATAAAATTATCTAGTTCTTGGGAGATTTGGGGAGTATCTGGAGAATTGGATGATCGGTCTGAATGAAATGAAGAGTAGGTTTGGGTGACTTGTGAAGCATAAGAGGGTGTAGAAATCGATGGAAGTGGGTCATTTGGCGGGATTGGTTGAAAAGGGGGTTTTGAAAAAACTGAGGAGTTGGTTTGAAAATTATTGGATGGAGATGGTTCAGAGTCTGCAAATTCATCAGGGGTTTCAATATCTGGGTTATTGAGTTGTGAGATGGAGTATAAAACTGAGATATGTGAATTAGTGTCTGAATTCATGCCTGATGTTATATTATTGGTTGGGAAATCGGGTGGCGGGAAATCAAAAAGTGGAATTATTGTAATTGGAGTGTTGAGATTGGTTGGGTGGGAATTTGAGCGATGTAGGGATCCAAGTTGTCGGCTCATCGTGGGCTAAAAAAATTATTATTTTGAGACTGAAAAGCGGTGGTATGGGGTTGTTCTATAATTTGTTCATAGGTATTTTCATCTAGTGGATGGTGTGTCATTATATGTTGAATGGGACTTTGTGATATGGTTGGTCTAAAATTTGGATTATGTGTTATTGCTAAATTTCGAAAATTTCGTGGGACTAGTGATAATGGATGGTTATGTGGTAGGGGTGGTAACTGTGGTGCTGTAGGCGTTATGTCTACATTGTTATGTTCTTCGTCATATGTGTTCTGTCTTGTTGCTATTTTTGTGTTGTATTCTTTTATTTGTGCGTCTAAAAGAATTTTGTTTATTGATGATGAAAAAATTCCAAAAAATCCTGCAAATAGTATGCGTGCTACACTTGCTTGTCTATTTACTTGTGTGTGTATAGCGCATGTATTGTAGATTCCT